GGCCTCCTTCCTCGGCAGCAGCAGGAGAGCAGAAGACACTCCCTCATCCCACGTGGGAGGGACAGTTTCCAGCCTGTCCATCCTCCAGGAGCCCTAAGTGCCACACAGCGTGTCACCAGCTCCCAGTTTGTCAGTCAGCTGTTGCCGCCCTCAACTCTCCTTTCCTGCCCTCAGGGACCAGGGCCCAGCCACATCTCCTGGCCTAGCCTCCTGGGGCCTCCTGGGAGGTTGGGCCCAGGCCCAGAGGCACTACCTTCTCCAGGAAGCAGAGAAGGGCCCAGAGTTCTCTTCCTCTTAGCTCCCGGGTGTGTGTGTGTGGGGGGTGAGCAGTGTCCCCTCCTCCCCTCTAATGAGTGACATTTTTGGGTAAACCTACTTTCACTTTGAAAACACTCATAGAAAAGTAGTTGTATGGGAAAGCTGCCACCAGCTTGGCTCTGGTCGGCCATGGCCGCAGCCCTCCGCCGCAGCCCTGCAAGTCCTGCGAGGGTGGACTGGCAGCACTTCCTGAAACCTGTTTTTGTTACCTGCGGCTCCTGAGCTGCTCTGGCTGGCGGTGTAGGGGGCGCTGTAGGACCACCAGTCAGCCTTGCTGCAGTGCCATCATGGGTGAAGCAGTGATCCTTCTTGCCCTACTGTGCTAAGAGATTGCTGGGAAGATTAGCATCCAATAACGTAACTTGAAAAGTCTTACTTTGAAAGTTTGTGAAGCCCTTAAAGCAGCTGAGAGCCAGCCAGTGGCCTGCGGTTAAGCTGGCTGGATCCCACAGGGTCCACTGTGTTCTTCAGGTCCCAGACCCAGTGACTTGAAAAGCATGCCGCATGCATATACGTGCCTGCCCCAAATCCCGAGAAGACAGTGGAGAAGGGATTGTGGATTGGCCATTCCCCTCTGGGAGGCTTTCTCCCTCTCCCTCTGTTTCTTTCTCTCTCTGTGTCTCTGGTAAGAGCATGCACACTACAGCAAATTTAAAAAAAAACAGCAGCAGTCTGTCCAAAGAAACTGGGCGTGAGATTTTAGGGGGTCCATGGCCTTGGCTTGCCAAGGGTCATGGATGGGTGAACTAGTGACTAGCCCAACTCCCATGGGCAGGGGATGGGAGAACGGTTAGTTGTGGGTGGGCGGCCTCTAGCTATGTGGGCATTTGTGAGTGCTATAGCCCCAGAGGTGGGGGGCTGGCAGAAGACAGTCAGCTGCGGTATTGGATCACTCGTCCTCCGTCCTCAGGCTGCCTGTCATCACTCAGGGTCTGGTGGCCAATTGTCACTTTTTCCCTCTGCACACAGGCTCAAGAATGGGACATGGACGCCCGTCGACCAATGCCTTTTCAGTTCCCGCCTTTCCCAGACAGGGCACCCGTCTTCCCTGACCGCATGATGCGGGAACCCCAGTTGCCCACGGCAGAGATCTCGCTCTGGACCGTGGTGGCCGCCATTCAGGCTGTGGAGAGGAAGGTGGACGCCCAGGCCAGCCGAAGGTGGATTCCTGCCTGGCCCGCTTGCTGAACCTGGAGGGCCGCACGGGCACGGCAGAGAAGAAGCTGGCCGACTGCGAGAAGACGGCCGTGGAGTTCGGGAACCACATGGAGAGCAAGTGGGCCGTGCTGGGGACGCTGCTGCAGGAGTACGGGCTGCTGCAGAGGCGGCTGGAGAACCTGGAGAACCTGCTGCGCAACAGGAACTTCTGGGTGCTGCGGCTGCCCCCAGGCAGCAAGGGGGAGGCCCCCAAGGTACGTGGTGATCCTGGCGGCAGGGTGGGGGTGCAGAGCAGTGCAGTGCGGACTAGCAGACCCTCGACTTCGTTCTGTCAGCCCGTTCACATGCTTCCGTGGCTCCCTGTTGTCCAGCGTCAGTGCCTTCCTGGTCAGAGTGTTCTGCTGCAGCAAGGCTGCCCCTCCGCCCGTTCCCTGTGTCTGCGTGTTCCTGTCTGGAGCCTTTGTTCTCATTCTTCCCTGGCCTCCCTGAACTGCCAGGTTCCTGCAGCTCCTCACTGCTCGCTTGTTTGTTGTTTTTTAGGCTTTTGCCATAGGGCGTGTGTGCTCATTGGAGAGAGACAGAGACTGAGTGAAAGTGAGAAATCACCCCCTGTGGGGAATGGCCACACTGCAGTCCCTTCTTCTCTTGGAATTTTGGGCACATATGCACATGTGCATGACATATTCCTGGTGTGATTTTCAAGCTGCTGGGTTCAGGACTTGAACCGTGGTCAGCCATGTTGGATCCAGCCACCTTAACCACCACGCTAACTACTGGCCCCTTCATTACTTGATTTTTTGACATGTATGTGATGGCTTGTCATTGGTTATGTTCATATATGCTCCTTTGGTTGTGGCTGGAGGCAGGACCAAAACCACACTGACTGGAATTACTTTCCGGCCGTGAGCACTAGCCTCCCACGGGCTGCTCTCGCAGTTCAGAATGCACGCCCTGTTTCCTGCTCATCCTCTCTCCTTCTCCCTCCCGATAGTTACTGCTCCTGGATCCTTCCCCAGTTGGGGTGGTTCAGTGTCCACCTTCCCCTTCTCTAGGAGGTTACCCCAGCTTCTCTGCACTTTCTGCTCCACGTTGTCAGCTCTGCCCCTCTGCCGGGTCATCCCTGCCAGCGCCAGCCCGTCAGGGACCCCTGCCCATCTCTAACGAGAAGCCTCCATCGAGCCAGCATCTCGCTCGCGGTGCCCCATTTCTCTGTTCCTCATAACAACAGAATCCGCTATTGAAGTTTTCTATGATCGTTATTTCTAATCCTTTCTTCCTCGTTTTCTCTCCTCCCCCAGTTCTTAATTTGCTAGAGAACACATACTTTTGCTGGAGAGAGACAGACACAGAGAGAGGAAGTGATGAAGCAGCCCTTCCAGGGGTATGGTCATGCTACAGTCCTTTCTCCTCCTTTTGGGATTTTGGGCACGTACGTGCCCATGCCTGGCTCATTTTTCAAGTCATCAGATCTGGAACTCAAACCATGCAGTTGATCATGTACAATCCAGCCACCTTAGCCACTACGCTACAGGCTGGCCCTCTCCTCTTTACTAGAGAATATGCAAACTGTGCAAGTCCCTACAGCAGCGCAGGGAGCCCATGTACCCACCCTGGCTGCAGCAGTTAGCAGCTCTTGCCCACCCTCTCACCTAAACCCCTGCCCACCACTTCCCCTTATCCCATTTTATTTTGAACAAACCACCGATAGTTTCTTCCTTCCTTCCTTCCTTTCTCTCTCTCTCTCTCTCTCTCTCTCTCTCTCTCTCTTTCTTTAAGGTTTTTGCCGTAGGACACGTACGCTCTCTGGGAAAACAAAGACAGAGAGAAGGAAAATGAGAAATCACCCCCATGGTGTAAGGGGGAGCAGCCACGCCACAACCCCTTCTCCTGTACTCTCCTCCCGGGATTTTGGACATGCATGCACACGTGTCAGGCATGAATTTTAAGCCACTGGGTGTGGGGCTTGAACTGCCGTTGCCCATGTGGGAGTCCAGTGCCTTAGCCACTGTGCAACCTGCTGGCTCCACCTTTCGCATCTTAAATAGTTACTTCTTTCTCTTGTTTATTTTTTTCCCAGCTAGAGTGTAAATTCTGCCCAGTTCCCTGCTATGTCCCACGACTGTACCTGGCTCATCTGGTGTGCAAAAAATATTGCCTAAGGATTCTCTCCAGCAAGAGAGCTAATGCTTCCAAGGAAGGGACCAGGACTCACTCGGCTATCTGCTGAGGCAACCAGCCAGTGGCTTTTCCAGAAGAACTGTTTGACATTTATCTTTTAAGGCTTCATAGCACTGAGTTGTCCTAATGGTTTTGGTTTTTCCATCAGATATTCCCTGGCCACCACAGCCCAGAGATTAATTTTTAGTATGGTTTTAGGTTCGTGTGTTGCATTTGTAGCACAGCCAGCCTCTACACACACACACACTCCTTTTTCTCCAGTCCGTCCTGTGTGTTGGAATTCAGTGCTCTGGCCTCAGGCTGCTCTGGTACTCGTTCTAAGCGTGGGATTCGGGCCGGGAGTCTTGAGCTGACCTGTGCCCCATCGACGGATGGAATGGTTACATGATCGGAATCAGAGGACTTGGGCTTGAATCTTGACTTTGCCACATACTAATTTACCTACCACTGATCAAGTTGTCTTTTTGTTGTCACTGAGCCTCCTCATTCTGTTTTGAAAGAAGTCAAGTGTAAATAGTTAAACTCCCAGCTGGTTCCTGAGTTTCAGTGTTGTTGTCTATAAAACATAGATGATAATTTGCTTACTTCCTAAAGTTGTGAGAATTCATTGATTTTTCTGTTTTTCTTTTAAATTTACTTATAGAATGTGTGTGCACATCAGAGAGGGAGGAAGAGAGCACCCCCAAAGGGGAGAGAGGAAGAGAGCACCCCTTGAAGGGTATGGCCACGCCACAATCCCTTCTTCGTTGTTTTTCTCCTGGGATCTCGGACATTCATGCACACATGTCTGACGTGTTCCTTAAGCTGCTAGGCCTGGGACTTGAACTACATAGTCAGCCATGTGGGATCCAGCCACTGGATGGCCCAAGGATTAATTGATTTTGTTTGTGGAAAACGCTACGTATTGCGTTGTCTGGACAGTCATGACACATTTTTTGCATTAAAAAAAAATAACAATACTTCATGACTTTCCAGACAACCTAATAGATTATTATATTAATTACCTATTGTTGTGTAACAAATTACTCCAAAATACAGCAGTATAAAATAATGATTTATCATCTCCCAATTTCTGCATACCAGGAATTCGGGAGCAGCTTAGCTGGATGGGTCTGACTCAGAGTTCCACAAAGTTACCACAGGGCTGCTGTCATCTACAGGCTTGGCTGGGCAGAGCATCTGTTTCCATGACAGCTTCCTTGGCCAATGGCAGGAAGCCTCAGTTTCTAACCATGTGGCCCTCCCCTGAGGGCTGCTTGAGCATCCTCACAACATGGCAGCCAGTCTGCCCTAGAGGGAGTGATCCAGGAGACCAAGACGGAAGCTACAACGTCTCTTAGGACCTCCTCTCAGAAGTTATACACTATCATGTCTTTACTGGTGACTTGTTAGAAGCAAGTCACCAATCCTGCTCTCACTTGGGGAAGATAATTAGTCTTTTCCTATTAAAAAGACTGTCAGAGGAGCCAGAAGGTGGTATGGAGGTTAAAGTGCTAGATTCTCACGTGGTCGACCATGGTTTGAGTCCTGGACCTGGCAACTTGAAAATCATACCAGGTACCTGTGTGTGTGTGCAGACCCAAAATCCCAGGATGAGAATGGAAGAGAAGGGATTGTGGCATGGCCATCCCTGCTGGATGGTCATTTCTCACTTTACCTTTTTCTGTCTCTTTCCAGTGAGTGCATGCACCCTATGGCAGAAACCTAAAAAACCAACCAAACAATAAAGACTGTCAGAGAATCAGTGAGCGGATAATGGTTTATAACCACCACAATGTGGACCGGCAGGTGGCGTGGTGGTTAGGGGTGCTGGACTCCCACATGGCCCACCACGGTTCAAATCCGGGACCTGACGGCTTGCTTTCTAACTCTCTCTCTCTCTCTCTCACTCTCACTCTCTCTCACTCTATCCCTCTCTGGGCAAATTAAAAAATAAATAAATAAAGTTAAATAAAATAATTCTTTAAAAAAAAAAACCCACCACAATGAGGCACCATGAGAATGTTAACCAGTGTTGCCACACCAGTTAGAGTCCTGCACTCTTGGGCCTGCTAGAGCCACACAAACACACTGTCAGTCAGACCCAGGCCCTCTTGATTCAGTTTAGCTGTTAGTTGATTGCTAGTCATAGATGATTCATGGGTGATCTTTTTTTTTTTCCTTTTTAAGAAAGATTTTTGCTATATGGCGTGTGTGCTCTCTGGAGGGACAGAGGGAAATCACTCCCTGGGGGAATGACCACACCACAATCCCTTCTCTTCCATTCTCCTCTTGAAATTTTGGACACACACACACTTACCTGGCATAAGTTGTCAACCTCCAGGTCTGAGACTTGAAACACGGCACACCATGTGGGAGTCCAGCGACCTGGCCATTATGCCATCTGCTGGTCCCCATGGGTGGTCTTTTCTCTCCAACTAGACTTGGGCTCCATGTAGTTTCAGAATACAGGGCCAGCCTGTAGCCTGGTGGTTAATGCACCTGGATCCCACCTAGCCGACTATGTGGCTCTAGTCTGAGTCTGGTGGTTTGAGAAACACAGCAGACACATGCATGTGTGTGCTCGGAATCCCAAAAGGAGGGAGGAATGGAAGAGGAAGGATTCGAGTGTGACCATGCCCCATGGGGGTGCATTCTCACTCGGCCTCTCTGTCCTCCAGCAAGTGCTTTTGCCCTCTGGCAAATTTAAAAACAGACTATGTCTCAGACCTCTGTTGTGCCCTATCGCAGCAATGAAGCTTTAAAAAGGTGGTGTCCAGGGACCAGAAGATTGCATAATGGTTACACTGCTGGGCTCCCACTCATGTAGTTGACAGTGGTTGGAGTCCCAGACCTGACGACTTAAAACTCACGCCGGACGTGTCTGCATGCATGTCCAAAATCCTGAGTGGAGAATGGAGGAGAAGAGATTATGGAGTGGCCATCTTCCCTGGGGGGTGATTTCTTACTTTCTGTCTCTCTGGCAAGCACATGTACCCTATAGCAAAAATCTCTCCAAAAAAAAAAAATAATAAAAAAGGCGCTATTTCTAACTGCAAGAATATGATTCTGGTCTGTGGTCCTCCACAGAGACCGT